ATATTTTTTTTTTAATTTTAATTTTTTGGTACTGGGGATTGAACTTGGGTCCTTGCACTTGTGAGGCAGGTGCCGGAACCAATGAGCTAAATCCCCAGCCCAGGTGATACATATTTTTAACTAATCCAGTAATTTAACGAGTATTTGCTGCCAGAGACTCTTAATAGGTCTTTAAAGGGTGACATCGGTTAAACAAACATACAGAAACCCATGTCCTCCCACACTGTAGTTGGGGTAGGCTAGTTAAACAGAATAGCAAGATGTAGAGTCCCTCCGTGAAAAAGAAAACAGGGAAAGCGGATCAAAGAGGGAGTGCATAGGATATGGAGGTTATAATTTAAAATAGCTTGATATCTTATTTAATTTAGGTGAAGAGTGAACAGTGCAGAGGATGCCTTGAAGGGATGAAGGCCCTGCAGTGGGATGGGCTTTGAGTGTTTGAGGCTGGTGGAGCAGTTAGCTAAAGCCCAGAGATAGGTGATCGGATAAGGAGACCAAAACATAAGTAAGATCACAACGCCTTTGGAGTAGTGACATAATCAGAATTCACATTTTATGGATGACTTTTGGCCGCTAGATGGAGGATAGTGGTAACAAGGAAGATATTTTACATAGCTCTGCAGTGCACTCATTTAAATATTTGTAACTACAACAAAAACTTCACTAATAGTACCCCATCCTTTTTTCTGTTAGGAAAAAGAAATGCTAGTTATCCCCGGTACCCCCAAACAGACAAACAAACAAATGCTAGTTATATCCCAGTTTCATGACTGCATGACTTATAGTTGAAAAACACTGCAAACGAGACATAGCCCCCAACTTGTCAAGGAAGAAGTAAAATTTAGGATTGATAAACATGTAAAACAACTTGAAAAATTAGTATTTTGTATACACACAGACTTAAATTTAAAAAGATCAAATCATTATTTAAAATAATTTAGAAGGCCTAACAGAGCTCACTGCCTGGAGGCAGCTGCTTTTGGAAAACCTTTTGATTGAGATCCCCTGGGGCTTTACTCTGTGCATCTAAATTGCATGCTTATATTATTTATTGTTTGGTTTATTAATGGTAGACATTATCTGTTGACTTGTTGCTATGACAGATGCTTTCAGTCTCACTTCTCAGTGCTCTTCCTTGGGCACTCTGTCACTTCTTTGGGGTTGTGCCCTTAACTCCCTGCAGCCCCTTTGAATATCCTGCTATTGTCTCTCTCTTCCTCACCTGTCAGTTTGTTTTTTATCTGTTTCTGCTTTTCAGAACCATGGACAAGCTACTTAGTCTGAAAAAAATTTTTTTTCTAATTAAAAATTAGTTTTAAATTTCTTTAAAAATTTTTTTAGATTCTTGGATGGGGAAATTTAAAAAAACAGATTTTCTCATACTGGCATATTGAAGCTGAAGACAAACTGAAGATTAGGTCAGAGTTTTGTTTTGAGTATGTTTGTGTATATGTTTTAAGAATTATATAAACTGAGCACACCTGAACCCCAGTGTTCTGAGAGACTGAGGCAGGAGGATTGCAAATTCAAGCCCAGCCCAGGTAATTTAGTTACTTAGCAAAAACCCTGTCTCGGAATTTAAACGTAAATTAAAAGGCAAGAGATAAAGCTCATTTCAAAGGCCTTGGCTTATATTCTCATTACTGCTCCTCTTTCTCCAAGAGTTAGATATTTATACAATATTTTAATCTTTTTTGTTTGTTTTTGGTACGAGGGTTTGAATTTGGGACAGTGCTCTCGCAAGGTAGGCAGTGGGACCACTGAGCTAAATCCCTGGCTCAATATTTTAATCTTAAATTATAGGCTGGGGCATGGTGGTGTATGCCTTTAATCCCAGCTATTTACTTTTAATTCTAGCTATTTGGGAGGTTGAGGTAATGGGATGGCAAATTTGAGGACAGTCTAGGCTTCCTTTGTTCTTTTCTCCCTCCTCCCCATCCCCTTTGTTGTTGCTTGGGTCTAGATGTACCCCCAGAGCCTCATGCATGCAGTCTTAGGTGGGGCTGAATCTGTAGTGTGTGATTGATTCATGGTGCAGTGCTAGGCTGGAGGGCACTAGGATTAAGGGAGTGAGTGCTCCTCACCCTAAGTAGCCTAAACAAGGTAAAAAGGGTAGAAAAATGCTGTTGAGGTCTCTTGTAATGTCTTGTACCACCATGAACTGTTGACCCTCTGCCATGTGCCACTCTGCCTTGGAGCCAGCTGATTATGGACTGAAACCTTTACAAACGGTAAGCTAAATAAACCTTTCCTCCTTTAACTTTGGGTGCCCAGTATTTTGTCTCAGCAATGAGAAAAGAAACTTACAACACACCCTCCTATTCTCCCTCTCCCCTGACCCCCCACTATTTTGTTGAGACAGGGTTTCCCTAGTAGCTCAGTCTGGCCTTGAATTTACTGTATAACCCAAGCTAACCTTGAACTCACAGTGATCCTCCTGCCTCAGCCTACTGACTGCTGGTATTACAAGCAAGTACCACCATGCCTGCCCTTCCCCTTCCTCTTTAGTTGGAGTTCTTCTCTCCCTCCCCTCCCCCTCCCCCTCCCCTTTAGGCTGCTTGAATTTGCAGGGGATCCTCCAAAGTGCTGGGATTACAGGTATGGGCCACCATACCCAGCCTTCCTAGGAATCTAACCCAAGCTGTTCTCACTGAGCTGCAACCCCAGTTATTCAGTTATTTATTTATTTATGGTACTGGTGATCAAACTCAGGAAGGACCTTGTGCTTAGGAGGCAGGCTCAGCACCACTGAGCTAAATTCTCTCAGCCCTTTTATTTTTTATTTTGAGACAAGGTCTTGCCAAGTTGCCCAGGTAGAACTAGAATTTGTAGTCCTCCTGCTTCATCCCCTAAGTGCTGGGATTATAGGCATATACTATCATGCCCTGTTCAGCCTGGACAATTTAGTGAGACCCTGTTTGAAAATTAAAAAGTAATATAGTTAGGATATAGCCTAACACTCCCTGGGTCAGTCCCCGGTACCACCCTGAAAATTATATATAAAATATGTATATGTGTATTCTCCCTCTTTCAGAGTATTTAAAATAGATGTATAGCATGCTCTCATAAATTGGTACTATGGTATTACCCATATTTTGACTTTTAGGTTGTTTAAAGTTATAAATTGTTTAAGTTGCACCTAATGCTCTGATTTCTATGAAAAATATTTTGTGTAATCTTTGATTATTTCTCTTAGGATAAATTTCTAGGAATGGGTATTGCCAAGTCAAAGAAGATAAATAATTTTGAAGTTCTTACTGTCACCACTTGCTGTCTACAGTTTCACTAATTTATATTCCCACCGTCATTGTATTAAAATGTCACCTTTTGCTATGTTCTTAGTCCTACTAGGAACTTCTGAAACTATTTGGTTCTACTACGTTAAAAAGAAAATAAATTTATTTTGAAAGTTCCCAAGAAAGTTGAACACTTGACAGGTTGTTTTGTTTTGAGACATGGTTTCACTGTGTAGCCCAGGCTAGCCTCAACTCTTGGTGATCCTCCTTGCCTCAGCCTCCCAAGCCACCACACCCACAGGACTTGATAGTTTTGAGTGTGTATGTGTGTGTTTTAAGGGTATGAGTAATTTTTGATTTTTTTCTTTTTGTGGCCTCTGTGAGTTGAACCCAGGGCCAGTGTGTGATAGGGAAGCCTTTTACCACTGAGCTAGATAGGCAGTCCCTATGTTTTCATTTTTAATGGCTATCTTTACACATGAAAATTTTATTTTTAACCATTATTTAGGCTTGTCCTATATTTTCTTTAACACTTAGCTGATTTTAGAAATAAGAACCATATGGGTATTTTGAAGATAGCCTTGAATTTAGAGCCTAGGGATCGTGGAGAAGTTTTTGGAAGAAACTTGACAACATTTGATTGAGAAACAATTGCTCTTCGGTTTGTGCTGAAAATCTGTTTTAATTTAGAGTTTTGTTTGTAGCTACCTGAAATATGGCCAGTTGCCTTGTGCTCTAGAAGGTGTTACATTACTATACATTTCTGTGAAAGTACTTTATAATGAGTAAAACTTTGTAGTTGAGATACATAGCTCATTGCTCTGGGTAATCTGGTTAAACGAGTATTTCCATGGAGAGGCGGATGTAGGATACTTAACCTTTTTTCCTGATGAGTTATGCAATGTCACCAGGGAATTTCTTAATATTTGGCATAATTCTACTAGGAACCTTTACTGGTGATAGTTGAATTCTTTTTTTTTTGAGACAGAGTTTCACTATGTAGTTGAGACTGACCTGGAACTCACTATGTAGCTCAGGCTGGTCTCCAGCGATCCTCCTGCCTCAGCCTCCGGAATGCTGGGATTACAGGCGTGTGCCAACACACCTGACAGATAGTTGAGTTCTTTTCAAGGAAAAATTAAGTTAGATTTTAGACCAAGAGAAATTACTGAAATTTTAGGCTATATATTTTTTTTACTTTCATGGGCACTCCAGGTCCTCCTTGCTCTCTTGAAGTTCCTTGGTCTGCCTGTGCTCCCTTCAAACTCCTCTGCCTCTGCGCAGGGTTCCTTCTACTGTTGCTTGATGATCACACCTACTC